ACCTCGGCCTCCCAAAGTGCTGGAATTACAGGTGAGAGCCACTGCGCCTGGCCAACCTTTACCATCCTTGAGCAACGCCACAAACTCAGACAACAGAATCAAGTAACATCCCACCATCAACAGGCTTTTAGGTGGTGACCCAGTCCTCCTTAGAGAGAGGAATAGAAGTAACAGAGGACCCCTTAGAATAATATGATGACAATAAAGAAGAAAAGAAATTCAAGAGACATTATGCAAGGGAATGAACAGCCACAGGGCCAACCCCTTTGAGGAAGGCCTTCAGTTTGCTCTTATGATAGAGGAGGTCTTCACCTCATGGCTGGGAAGAAATGTGTGAGGAGGTGGCTTTCCAGTATACTTCTCTAAATTCACACTCCCAATAATGGCACCTTGAACTTTAAAGGTTTCCTAACTTTAAAATGAGCTATAGTTTCTAAATGTAACACAATGATGTGCTGACAGTTTGATTTTATGGTCAAATATTTAATGAATATATACTATGCACCAGGCCCTGCACAATAAGCGGGAGACACACAGTAAGAAAAATTAGACATGGTTTCTGCCCTCGCAGATATTTTTCTCCTGACTAGTGGGTTTGTTTTCCTTTATTCCCCAGACTAGCAGTTTTGAGTTATATGCCTTTGAAGTTAAATGTTAAAGTACTTTGTTAATGTACTAGGACCAGGTATCTGTCGATAAACTATTCATAACTATTAAATAGTTAGTAAGAAGACAAGAGGAGGGAATAAATGAGTTGAACCTGAGCAGAATAAATGAGGTGAACTGGAAATATATGAGTACTTAATTTCTGAGCTTGAATGGAAAGATCTGTTATACAAAGAATAAAGTCTAAACTAATTTTCATGCCCAAGCAATCTGAACTTGGTCTGTCTCCCCAGTTAATCTTATGTCACCCTCCCATTCACTCAGGAGCTCTGGCCACAGCAGTTTACTCTTAGATCCTTGATCATGCTAAGCTTCTTCCTGCCTTCAAAGCTTTGGCACATGCTACACAGCCAGGGCCTTGCCAATGCCTGCTTAGTAGCACGTGCTCAATACGTATATGCAGAATGAATATATATATATATCTGTCTTGACTTTTAAAATTGATCACATTCAAAAAATCTTTTAAATTGTTAAGTTTTATGATGGTCTTTTTCCTTCTGTAATAGTCATCGTATTTTACAAATATTGTTTAAATAATGTTTGCATTGCTGTTAAAAAATACATGTTAAAAACCTTAAAAAACCATCAACTTTTTTTTACATATATTGTTTAAATAATGTTAACTGTAACAGTCATCTTTTTTCATATTATTTAAATAATGTTTACATTGCTGCTAAAAAATACATGTTAAAAACCTTAAGAATACAAAGCATAGAAAACAATCATCCCTAATTCTTCTACCCATATATAATTAATGCTAATATAATAATTTTAAACATATTTTACATAATTAATATCATAATAACATAAAATCTGGAATCCTCTCAGTTAATTTTATAGCATACAGCAGAGTATAAGTTACATTCCCATGTCAATAACATTTCTTTGTAAACTTTTTTTAATAGAGACACTCAGGCTGTAGTGCGGTGGCATGATCATGGCTTACTGCAGCTTCAAACTTCTGGGCTCAAGTGATCCTCCCACTTCACCTTCCTCAGTAGTTAGGACTATAGGTATGCACCACCACACATGGCAGTTTTTTTTGTTTTGTTTCATTTTTTTGGCAGAGATGAGGATTCACTATTGCCCATTGATCTCAAACTGGCCACAAGCAATCCTCCTGCCGGAGGCTCTCCCAAAGTGCTGATATTACAGGTATGGGTCAGCATGCCCACTCAACAATTTGTAATGGTATAGTTTGGATATATGTTCCCTTCTCTGTCTCTTGCTCCTTCTCTGGCCATGTGAGATGCCTGCTCTCACTTTGTCTGACCACAATTGTAAGGTTCCTGAGGCCCTCACCAGAAGCAGATGCCATTTCTACACTTCTTGTATGGTCTGCAAAACTGTGAACCAAAATAAACTTCTTTTCTTTATAACTTACGCAGCATCTCAAGCATTCCTTTAGAGCAACACAAAATGGACTAATATAAATGGCTATATAATTTTCTATTCAGATAGCATCTAATCTGTTTAATGGTTATTTTTCAGCACTTGCTATTAAAATTATGCAGTGATTAAAACCTCTATAGCATATACTAACTTAAATGCTATATTAACCTAAATGCTAAACTTCAATTACTTAATAACTTATTTTAAACTAATTTTCTATTGATTTAAAAAATCATCTAAAATTTTAATTGGTTTATGACAGCAAAATATAGTTGATCCTTGAACAACATGGGTTTGAACTGCATGGGTCCACTTAAACACAAATTTCTTTCACTTCTGCCACCCTTGAGACAGCAAGACCAACCTAACCTCTTGCCCTTCTTCCTTAGGTGACTCAATATGAAGACAGGCAAGATACTTTTATGATTCTCCACTTCCACTTAATAGTATATACATTTTCTCTCCCTTATGACTTACTTAGTAACATTTTCTTTTCTCTAGCTTAGTGTTAGAATACAGTATATAATACATATAACTTTACAAAATATGTGTTTACTATTTACATTACTGGTAAGGCTTCAAGTCAACAGTAGGCTATTAGTAAAGTTTTTGGGAGTCCAAAGATATACATGAATTTTCTTTTCTTTTCTTTTTTTTTTTTTTGAGATAGAATTTCACTCTTGCTGCCCACGCTGGAGTGCAATGGCATGATCTCAGCTCACTGCAACCTCTGCCTCCCAGGTTGAAGCAATTCTCCTGCCTCAGCCTCCTGAGTAGCTGTGATTACGGGCATGTGCCACCATGCCCAGCTAATTTTTTTTGTATATTTAGTAGAGATGGGGTTTCTCCATGTTGGTCAGGCTGGTCTCGAACTCCCAGCCTTAGGTGATCCACCCAACTCAGCCTCCCAAAGTGCTGGGACTGCAGGTATGAGCCATTGCACCCAGACTGTGGATTTTCAACTGTGTCGGGGCCAATGCCCCCTAACCCCCACATTGTTCAAGGGTCAGCTGTATACTATAAAGTTGGTTTCTTTCCCTCACCATTTCTGCTTCAGATCACAGGTACACTTCCTAAAATACCAGGGTCAATCTAATTCTAGTTCTGAGAATTATCTTGAGAAAAAGTTCTTTTGTCTCTGTCATCTGTAGATTCACACTATGGATGATATGTGAAGCATGTAAAAAGGTCCAGATTCTGCCAAACAACTTAAATAATGTTGATTATTTAAAAGCATTTAAAAAAAATTCCTACTCATCCTAATTGCAGATGAATAAAGGAATTCCTTAGAAATGAACAGTATTCATATAAAGCAGAATGTATTAATCCTCAATTATATTGTTCTGTTTAAAACTCTTTATTAGTCACAGTCTATTTAAGATCATGAATGGTTGTTAATAAAGTATTTACTCATATAACCAATGGTATATATTTCCATGAACAGTTTAAGAACCTCTGCTAAAATTCAGACCTCAATCATTAGAGAATACAAACATTAACTTAACTAACGGTCTAAATGACAATACTTAGTACTGTATTTAAAAGCTTTTCATTTTTAGAAACAATGACATAAAATACATTCCTGATAATGGAAGTCTGGGGGAAATTAAGAGAATGGAAAGGGGCCTAAAGGTGAAGATGAACAGAAAGTTCAGCTACACACATACCACAAATTCTTCATCCACTTTATTTAATGTTAATTCTGCATCATCTTCTGTAACACTTTCTTCTTCTAATTCTTCTGCTGGGTATACTGGCCTAAAATAATAAGGTTAAACATGAGAGGAGAATTTTAATATTTAGTAAGACAAAAAAGCATAATGCAAATATTATCTCCTCTGTGCCAGGTTTTGTCCTTTTTCACTCCTTTTCCATAATCACTGTTGAATATTTCATGCATTTTCCCTAAAACTTTCTATGTAAAAAGGAAAAGTATTTATCTCCAAATTTACAAAAAAATGAGTTGATACTATGCATGGTGTTAGCCCACGTAATGCTTCTCACCAATACACCATATTTAAATACGTATGTATTTCTCATTTTTTACATGCTTACACTGTATTTCATTGAACAATCAGTACCATAATTAATGTAATGGGCAGCCTATGACTAAACATGGAGGTTTCTAGGTATTTTGCTAGACAATGTTGCAAAGATCATTTTTGTACATTTATCATTACATATACCATTTTGAATAAATTTGTTCATGTGAACTGGCTGGGTAAACAACTTTCTACATGTTATTGTTTTGCTATATACTGCCAAAATTGGCTTTCAAAATGTTACCCTAATTTAGACTGCCAACAACAGTGAAGGAGAGTGACTCCATTTCCATATATTCACCATATATATCATTATATGATGTATAATACAAATTTTAATCTTAGCTAATCAACTAAATAAAATCTCACTCTTGTTTTAAATGCATTTCTTTGGCATGAAAGTGATTAAACATCTTTTCATATTTTAATTGGTTATTTTCACATCTTTTTTGGTAAAGTGTCTATTAATACCCGTTACCTTTTGGCTTTTTGTATATTAAGAAAATTAATGTTTTGCCTAGCCTCTCAAAAATAGTTACCCTAGTGTATTACTTAATAACCTTGGCTATTGAAGATTGTTATAGTTCTTATTAGATGAACTTGGTAAACTTTTCTTGCACAGACCCTAGCTTTAACATCATATATTTGAGGCTTTCTGTCATACCACAACCCCTGTACTCCTCTAGTCTTTTAATACTTCTACAGTTTTACTTTTCATATTTATATCTCTGATCAATCTGAAGTTTATTTTAACATAGGTAATAAGAAGGTTTCCAGCTTTCTTCTTATTTCTAAAATCTAATTAGTGGTCCTAACATTGAGCATTGAAAAATCATTTCTTCATCAAGATTAATGATACATTTTCTATAATAAAAGTATTCAAATGTATTTGGGCTTATTTGTGAAAACTTATTTTATTTTTTCCTTTTCTCTCCAGTAACAAAGCTGGAGAGAGAGCTTATATTAACTACTAGTACCTGGCTGGGTGTGATGGCTCACGCCTGTAATCACAACACTTTAGGAGGCCGAGGTAGGCGGATTGCCTGAGATCAGGAGTTTGAGACCAGCCTGGTCAACATGGCAAAACCCCATCTTGACAAAAAAATGAAGAATTAGTTGGGAGTGGTGGTACGCACCTGGAGTCCCAGCTATGTGGGAGGCTGCAGTGGGAGGATGGCTTGAGCTCGGCAGGCAGAGATTACAGTGAGCCATGATCATTCCACTGCACTCCTGCCTGGGCAACAGAGTAAGACCCTGTCTTAAAATCAAAAATCCGTGCCTCAATCATGATAACAAAATACAAAAATCCACATTTACTATTATGCAAAGTATTGTAAACCAAATCAATCATCTTAAATAATAAATTTCCTAATTTTTCATTTGTTAGAATTAGAAAACATCTCAAAAGCAATATTCTTCTAGAATTCATTTTGACATATTTAGCTATATGAAAAATTCAGCTATATGTCACGTCTCTCATTTACACGTTATACAGCTGATATATTCTCTAATGTTGATTACTTTTCAGCTCCCTTCTTTTAGTCCTCATTTATACACAATCCTCATGAGTTATCTAAATCATAGTCTCTTCAAAACATGGTGCTAAAAAACAAAAAAAGGAAAAGAAATGGTGCTGGGAAAACTGGATATTCACATGCAAAAGAATGAAACTAGACCCCTACCTCTAACCACTTACAAAAACCAACTCAAAAGGGATTAAAGACTTAAATATACAATCTGAAACTGAAAATGCTAGAGGAAATATGGGGAAAAACACTTCATGACATTGTCTGGATAAGAATTTGTTGGGTAAGCCCTCAAAAGCACAGGCAACAAAAGCAAAAATAGACAAACACGATTACATCAAACTTAAGGAAACAATCAAGAGTGAAGAGACAACCCACAGAATGGGGGAAAATATCTGCAAGCCACCCATCTGATAAGTTAACACCCAGTATGTATAATTAACTCAAGCAACTCAGCAGCAAAACAACAACAAAAAACTAAATAGTCCAATTTTTAAAATGGGCAAAAAATCTTAATAGACATTTCTCAAAACTTGCATAAAAATAGCCACAGATATATGCAAAAATGCCCAACATCATCAGGGAAATGCAAATCAAAACCACAATGAGATACCATCTCACCCCAGTTAGAATGGCTATTACTCAACCCCTCGCCCCCACAAATAAGAAAAGCTGGTGAGGATATGGAGAAACGGGAACCCTTGTACGCTATTGGTGGGTATGTATATTATTAGTACAGCCACTATGGAGAACACTGTGGAGGTTCCTCAAAACACTAAAAACAGAACTACTCTATGATCCAGCAATCCTAGTACTGATTATATATCCAAAAAAAAAGAAATCAGTATGTTAGAGATGTCTGTACTCCCATGTTTACTGCAGCACTATTCACAATACTCAAGATATGGAATCCAACCTAAGTGTCCATCAAAGGTTGAATGGAGAAAGAAAATGTGGTATATTTACATAGTGGAATACTATTCATAAAGGAGAATGAAATTCTATCATTTGTAGCAACCCGCATAAGCCTGGAGGACATTAGGTCAAGTGAAATAAGCCAGGCACAGAAATACAAATATCACAGAAGTGGAGAGTATAATAGTGGTTATCATAAGCTGGGAAGGGTAGGGGAAAGGAGAATGGGGAGCAGTGGTCAAAGTGGGTGAGTACAAAGTTACAGTTAGGAGGAATAAGTTCTAGTGTTCAATGCACAGTAGGGTGACTACAGTTAACAGTATTATATATTAGTTAACAATAATTTATTATATATTTGAAAATAGCTCAAAGAGATTTGGAATGGTCTCACCACAAACAAATGATAAACGTTTGACATGATGGACATGTTAATTTCACTAACTTGATCATTGTATATTGTATACATGTATTGAAACATCACACTGTACCCCAAAATTTGCAGTTATTATGTGTCAAAAACAAAACTAAAAAATAAATTATCCAAATTACAATACATAAGCCAGGAATAAGATGTGTCAAGAAACAACGGAAGTGCAAAGTAGACTAGTGGTTGAGACATCATACAATAGCTGCTGGTGAACTTAGAATATATTGGGATATGGATTTAGTAATTTTTGAAAATACTAAATACAGCAGCACATCTCATAACCTATCTTCTCTTGAATGTTTGGATTGAAGCATATGAAATTGCCATGTTTTAATTTAAAAATAGATGAATATGAGTAATTTCATATGGCTCATCCCAATAACCTAATTCAAGGAAGTTATTAAAGAAACTTAATAGGGAGATTGTATCTAAAAGAATATAACTGAATATACATTAAAATGTTAACAGAAAATAATATATATATATATTTCTACAGAAGTTAGTTCTGATTAAAAAAACACTGCTTACTCACATTTTACCTGAATAGCGCCTTCTACATTCTAACCTATTAATAATCCCAAACTGCAGAGCATAAAATTTATATTTTCTAATTATAACCTCTTTAAATTGAGTTTTCAAATGTTCTGTTTCATCTATGTGCTCCATATCTATTAAACATCTAAGATACACCACACATTATGCTAACTTCCAGAGTACTTGCAAAGATTTCATAATTTCTAGCAAGAATGTCAGAACATTTAAGAAATAACAATTTTAATACCATAGGATAAATGCAATATAATAAGAGAAATAAACAAAGCACTGTCAAGTTGGACACAAAAGCAATGAACAATGTCTAGGAGAGGGTCAGGTAGTTTCTTCATTATTTCTGCCCAGTAACTATAAGGAGAAAATCCCACTTAAAGTACTATATTAATTTCCATTTTTCCTTAAATCTGTAGCTATCAGCTCCCTCCGTGTATATACTATGTTTATGTATATAAATATATGTACAAGAGACTTTTTAAAATAACAGAATTTACAAAGATATATAGTCACAGTTAAACCTTCAATAATTACATATTTGAATAGGGAAGAGGCAAAATAATATGTAACGCCTTACTTCAGAATTAATTTGCGAGACATCAGACATTCTAATTTTGTCTATACTGGCTTTTCTTAATTATCTGTGGCATTTTCAATTTAGAATAGTCAAAAAGAAATAATTATTTTATGTTTAATTGAACAGCTCTGCACCCTCAGAGGAAAATGCTATGCACATAAAATTACTATTATCAGGTTGGGTTATTTTTACCTTTTCCAGGTGAAACCAATATATTTCAATGCTTCTTCAGCTAAGCAGTCAAGAACATAGCATACATGTTCTCCACAACCTGTCTTTAATTTTGAAGGAGGAAAATCTGCAGTTCTTCCCTGAAAAACAAAAGATAAAACAGGGTGTTATTTGTTAGTTATACTCCAAATATCAAAATATTTTAAGCAAAGAACTGCTGAACAGATGCATCACTTTTCTTTCAAAGATTTACAATAACTGTAATTACATTGTTTCTTAGAAATCCATTTTAAGTCTTTGTAATCCATTGATACATAAAAGTACTGGAAATACTTTTATTGTTAAAGGTATGAAATTAAAAGGTAATAACATCATAGCATCATAGCACATTGATGTGGGTGAGTACAAAGTTACAGTTAGGAAGAATAAGTTCTAGTGTTTTCTAGTCTAATTATTGATCTTATTAGAGGGAAAATGAAACCAGTAAAACCATTTAAACAACTATGTTTAAGGATAGAATGATTCACTTGTCAAAAATTAGTAAGATTTGTGCCAAAAATATCTTACTGCCCACCCAGGAAAAGTCAGAAATGAAAAAGTACTGCTATCACGGTGTTAAGTCCAAGTTCCCTTTCAGAATAGAAAGTGTTTTGACTTTATAGGGTTTAATTATCATTTTTTAGATCAAGAATTAACCACCCAAAAGTCTACCTCTCAGACACATCAAGGTTTTTTTTAAAAAATACTACTTTGGGCTAATAAACAGTATACACTGAACGTTTTCAGAAGTGACATTAATGTTATAACATCAACTATTTTGAGGCTTTACCTCAAAATGAATTCATACATAATTATATTTACAGAGAAGTCATCAAATGGTTAGCATTTTTTATTAAATTACCAATATTAAAATTCATAACTTGAGAATATGGAGAAAGAATGGTCGTTTACACTTACAAATGACCGAAGCTCGGAAAGTATGTTAGATATTGTTGCATTAGGGTCATCATATTCTTGAGGCTGTTCAAAGGGATGTCCTGCTTTATTAATCAGCCAGGCAGCAAGAGTACAAAACATGTAGAACTGTTCGCCAGGGTTGGTAGGGAGTGCAAAATAGTGTCTGCTTCAAAACAAGGAGGAATGGGGGTGGATGTGAAATAATGCAAATAAATCTATAAATAATGCAAATAAATCTATAATAACTAACAGGGCCAAATTCCCAATTGCCCAACAACCTTTCTTTCCCCAACATGGCTGTCAAATCAAAAGACCTTGAGAATTCACCCTTTGAAGTTTCCAGTAATCCACAGCACTCACATTAAAGTTGTTAAATCAGCAGGATTAGGGCCATTACTACTGTATCCAAAATATTAGATCAAAGACCTTACACCCAGGACATGTAGTGCATGTTAGAGCACAGAGTACGTAGAATTTTTGCCAAAAAGATTTAAGTGTTAGGAATAATATGTGAGTACCTTATGAATGAAAATGGTAACTTAGAAGAATCTCAGTTTGAAAAAGATCTCAAAGATTACTTATTATGCATGTTTACAGTTTCCAACCTATTACCATGGTATTCATTTGTTTTTATCTTGGCTGCATATTCAATCACCTGAGGAGATCATAAAAATACTGGTACTTGGCCATACATTGCTCCTTCCCTCATGAATGAATTAAATCAGAACTTCTGTGAATGTACACCCAGTATGAGGTATATTTCAGGTATATTTCAAAAGCTTCCTACATGTTCATAAGGTGTAGTCAGGATTAAGAACATGTGAATGTCACATCACCAGTGTAACAAACATCTGTAGGCTCCTGCTTAATCCCCTAGTTTACTAAACACAGTTCTATGAGAATCAGTATGATTTATACCAAAACATTATAGGAATAAGACTCACTAGCAACAACATTTAAGTCAGTTTAATCAAAGATCTTATTCTTCTTGTGCAGCTACCATTATTATGTTTACAGTGTATTTACAGCTATTATAACCATTGTCATAAGAAAGTTATGTACTCCTTCATGTTTCCCAAACTTTTTCCTGCAGTATAAATGTTCTGGAAGATAAAAGAATGCTGGAAAGGAAAAAGGCCATGAAGTCCTTCCAGGTATGTGCTCACTACCCTTTCAAAGCACCCATCCATCAAAAAGTCATCTTTTCCTTATCGGCAGATAACTCCCCTAGGACAGAGGAAGGAACACCAATAGATACTGTAAACCTAGGACAGTGGTTCTCAAACATTAGTATCCATCAGAATCATCTGGAAGGCTTACTGAAACAGACTGCTAGACCCTCACTCCTATAATTACTGAAAAGGTAGACCTAGGAGAAAAGAAGAATTTCATTTCTACTAAGTTCCCAGGTGATGCTGATGCTGATGCTGTTGGTTTGATGATCACACTTCGAGAACTAATGGACTAGGATGTCTCCACACAAATCCTTGATTCAAAGTATCCTGCTGAACCCCTGGGGACACAGTGCAAGAGATTACATCAACAGAACCTGAAGGCCATTTTCTTTTCATTTGAAAAATATACTTGGAAAAAAATGCCTTTTTATTAACATAGGAAATGTTGGTTGTCTATATTATCCTGATCAGTTCACTTTCAGTAATAATCCCAAGACTACCTTTTTCTAACACGGGTCAAGCAACGCTTTTTCCTCTATCTTTTCTCCTACCATGGACTAATTTAATATGAACAGTTTACATAAAGCCTACATATCTTTCAATTCAAGTTATTGTAAGAGAGTAGTGGAATGAAACTAAAACTGTCAAGGGAAATTATTTGAGCCTGGCTGTAGACATTAAGTGCTATAGATTCTTAATATTGATTGCCTTTTATGGAATAAACGTAAGTAATAAGTGAAGAAAAGGCTATAAAACTGATTTATCTGACTATTGCTAAGCTACAGTGATTTGAGGAGAAGGTCCTAGCTGACCACTACCCTCAGCAAGTAATGGCATCGCTTTCAGGATATGTTGGACTTTGCCCCCGCCGGAACAAGGGTAGAACTTTAGTTTCTATGATACGGGACAATTCATTAGTTGTCATTTGTCTTTTCCACTTTTCGGTTTCTGAGAGTATGGTTATTGCAAAGGCAGAAGTCTTCTAAACCATAGCAAGTGGTCAACAAGTTTACTAACCGCATTTAAAGTGCTCCTTAACAGGGTCCTAAGTACCCACGGTCCGCAGTTGTAGGAAAAGGGTCTTAAACAACAACAACAACAAACCCAAACTAGAATAAAAGCCTTAAATGATAATGGCATTCCTCTCTGGAGACGAGATCTTGGGCGGTTTTATAATTTTTCTACACATTTTCTTGTGTTTTTCTGAGTTTTCTACAATGAGTATTTGCATTACCTTTATAATCAGAAAATATAGTTTGTGTTTTGTGGTAATGCGTGTGTGTTTAAAAAACAGGTAAGCTGACTTCCAATCCTTTCTGCCGTTCCCAAACTTATTTATTTTCTCTATAAAAAATACCAAGTCAGGGCTGCGTGAGCTCCACGACCCTCCCCGGAGTTTGGGGTGAAGTACCCTCCCCGGGCTAGGAAGACGGAGGCAAGGAATTGCTAACCCGCGCTCACGGAATTGGTTCCCAGCAGGAGGCACTCAGGCGATCGGGAACGCGGGTACCCACCTGGATGGGGCCTTCAGGTTGCTCTTCCGAAGGAACTCCTCCTCGAAGCGGAGCAGCTTCAGTTTCTCCACCAAGTCCTCCATCACCACGAACATGTGGTAGGCCGCGCCGGGCCCCCGCTCCACGACCACTTCCCCGGCCCCTTCGCCACGCGACCTAGGCACCCCATCTTCCAAACCCGATGTCGTGACGACGGCCAGGGCAGCAGTCATCGCAGGACGGAGAGTCCAGCGCGGGATCGGGCCCCCTCTGGACTACGCCAGCGCCCTGCTGCCACCAGTACAGCCAAGACCGGTTACCAGGCGACCACTGGACAACCCGTCACCAGGGAAACTGGACTCCGCCTCCTTCCCTCCAATCAGGGTGGCTTTCCGGAATGACGTCACCTGTGACCCGCTTCTTGCCCCTCCTCTGCGGGAGGAAAGGTGGCTGGGAGGCAGCCCCGCCCCTCGTGGAGGCGTGGCGTTTGCGCCACACCCCCAGCTGCATCTCCTCCCTCGGCCTTTGGAAGGCAGAGGATGGAAGACAGAGGAGGGGCTGTTTTCGTTTCTGCTCTGCTTGCCTGGTTACCGCACTGGCGTGAGGTGTGTTGGACCTGGTGGTTGCTAAAGGCAGCTAAGCGGGCATCTAGGTCAACTGGTAGCTGTTAAAAAGATTAAAGGGAGAAGAAGGCGGGCAGTTTAGAAGGCTGGACTAGCCCACTGATACCTTTATTTTCTCAGAATTGAAAAGTTTTTCATAGTTGTAAAGACAGCCGATACCACAGGTTTGACTTTCACTGCAGGAACTTTCCAGCAAGAGGTTTCTCTCGTTCTTTATTTTTTTAACTTTTTTTCTCACTAGGCAGTGCTGTGCCTAACAGTGTATTATAAAGCTTGAAGTACTGTATGACATTGCCTGGCTATTATGTTACTCCAGCGCTATGAAAGTGCTTGGAAGGACGAGGAAAAAGACAACGAACAAAGAAGCGGTTTGGAAGGATTCGTTTTACTTCAAAAACAAGAACACTAAGCTTCCATCCTTCTGCTTAATCTGCTTCAAACCCATTACATGTAGTATAAAGTTTTGGGGTACCTCGCTAAATCCAACAGAATAGAGATGGTCTTAAAAGGAATTTCCGTGCCCTAAAGTGTGGCTGAAGACAGGGTGTTACTACTGTGTTCTAAAGTTACTGACCTAGAAAATTCAAGAAAGGGGACATAACTGACCACAGAAAGGGCCCAGCTTTGCAGTTTTCAAAAGGTTTGTGTATCAGGCAATTTTCTTAACAGTTGCAAAAAGTGACGTAAGTGGCAGATGCCTGGTAGTTTTTTGGAAAAAAATACAAGAGGTTGAACATGTGTTCATGTTTACAACGTGACTTTTAAGGACTCTCTGATCTCTTGTATCTGCCACTACAAATTATAGAAGGGCCACATGTTTGGATAACTGAAAATTGAGATGTTATCTACAATATCCTGTTTTTGTTAGAAAAACGAGAACACACTTTTCGTTTTAATCAGTCTGCAGCTAACTTGTTTCTGACACTACTAAGGTTATCAAAGTGAAAAGTCAGAAAGGCAAATACCGTTTCTATTCATTAAAGGAAGTACATAAAATTACTGACTTATCTAGAGAATAACCTGAACAGGAAGCCCACTAAAAATTGCTTTTTAAATAAATAACATTGTTTGCCTAACACAGGTCATGAGCCAGCTGCTTTTAATAAAGCTGAGTGAGAAAATTGGGTTTGATGTTACTCCACTACCAAATTGATCTTTCCTGTTTTTTTTGCCTTTTGGGAACAGTGATTCTCCCTGATATGTCCATACCCCCAGTCAACACCACATGTGCAGGGCTGGGGTGTTATATATCTGTATAACAGCCGCAGTAGTGTAAGATAGAGGTATAGCTTTAGAAGACTGAAAAATGAAAGCTTAGATATATGTTTTGGGTTCCTAAGTTAACCAACAAGCCAACTGTGGCTTTGTAAATGACTCTCAAAAAGCTCCCGGATTTGGAAGTAAATTTATTACATTCAGGGAGATATTCTTGCAGGGCATGCTGCTTGCTTACGATGTGCTGACATTTTCAGGAAGTTACGTAACAGTATCAAATAGTCAAACGTTGATTTTTGGCTGATAAATCCTCCAACAACGTATGCATTTTAACTTGGGGGAAACAAAACGACTCCCAGAGTCTTAGCCATTTCCTTCCCAGGTACAATACTGACACAGGCTGGCCTGAAAGCAGTATAAAGAAAAATTTCCCCCCCTTTAATTGTGAAGAAGAAAATAAAAACAAAAATATAAAGTATTTTCAGTAATTGTGGCACAAAGAGAACAAGAAAGCTGACTCTTCAATGCTGCATGTTTCTCCAATAAAAAATGTTTGAAGGAACACTGGAATGTCATTGTTTTATAAAGCGCAGGGATGATTTTGCTGATTCCTTGTTTACCCGTAATAGTTTGTAACACATCAAAACGTCTTTTCCTTGATAGTTTTCTTCATGTGAGTGTAAATGCACTCAAATCCTCTTCTAGCTGTTTCAGCCACTTGGAAGCTTTGGGGATTATTTTATATTCCATATTTTTTGTTGTTTTTGTTTTTGTTTTGCAGGACTAGCTTATTTGTTGACTACAGAGTTAGAGCCTGAAGAGAATGAGCCATGGTCATTCTTCCTGTAAAGAATCTCAATTTCATTCCTGGTTTTATTGCAGTGACCACTTTCTTTTTCTTTAGGTTTTTTTTTTTTTTT